CTTAATCCAGAGTCAGGCTGAGCTTCAGTAGGGAGAAATTCTTAGGAAATGAGAACGCCTTGTGCACATTAATGGACTGCAGACAGAGCGATTTTCGCTGCTTTACCGTGCGATTTTTCAGTGAATTTTGCGTAGAACTGTACGAAAATTACTGACTTTCGTACGAAAATCTTCAGCAAATAACCGTTTTTCTACTTGGATTATGTTTGAATGTGTTTCAGGCCGAAGGAATGATCAATCACATCGGATATCCGGATTTCATTAATAATGATACAGCTTTGGATGAACATTATAAGCGGGTTAGTCGATTGTTGTTGGTGGTGGTGGAATTTGTTACATTCACTGCAAAATTCAGTGTATTTTCATTGGAATTGAGCACTTATCTTCATAAAAAATATTTGAATTACATAAGAATTTTCGAGATTTTCATTGATTTTCGCTTATGAGTTTATTGATTTCAGCAGGAAGTTTTCAAAAATGAATTTTCAAATGATTTGTTATGTTTCAGCTGGATTTACAAGCATCAGATTCGTATTTTGATTTGCTTCGAAAGGTGATTCTATGGTCACAGGAGAAAGAATTTATGCGTTTGACGAAAGAGTTTGATAAGTTCGAGTTTGAAGTGAGTCCGGCCGTCGTGAACGCCTTTTACTCGCCCGAAAAAAACGCACTCAGTAAGCACCGTTCTCGAATTTTATGCGCTTCCTATAAACAATTCACCCTAGCATATGAAAGAGTCAGTCCAATTCAATGAATGACAGTGGAGTTTATCTCCGATTGGTTGATTAAACTCGGAAAAAAACATTGAATTTTCATCAATACTGGATAGATTTGTGTCGAAGTACTCGAAATTTCGGATCCACAGAATTTTTCTTTTCTTAATTTTGAAAGAAAACTTTTTGCCTTCTGTTGATGCATAATCGCGATATTTTGTTGTTGCAGCATTTCCAGCAGGTATTCTGAAACCACCGTTCTTCAGTGGGCACTATCCAAAGTAAATCTTGATTCACTTATTATTTTTTTGGAATATTATTGTTCTCTTCAAGTTTTTGGATACTTCTGAGCTATTAGAGAGAAAGGAGCTGGAGTATTGAATATCAAAGAGATCGGACAAACCTGCTAGCTGTAGCAAGTTTATTAAGAAGAATGAGTTCATTGGCGAACCCTAGAAAGAACTGAAACTCTCAGTCGAATTGTATTCGCAGAGTAAAATTCAGGTCAAAAATAGGTTCGAATTGAAATTATTAGTTGATATATCTGATTTATATTATTGGGTAGCGTTTTTTAGAATGGTGAATTATGGTGCAATCGGTGCGGTAATTGGGCATGAGATCACGCACGGGTTCGACGATCAAGGTTCGCTGTTTGATCACGATCATTTATTGATTGATTTTCCTGAAAGTTTCCAAAATGCATCAGGAAAGGTTCCCTGGAATATATGGATTCATATACGTTTGTATGGAAAATTCCGAGTAGTTGGGATTATCGAAGCGGATAAATTTTCAGGAAGTCAATTCGATAAAGACGGTAATCTACAAAACTGGTGGAATGCAGACTCATACAGTGGGTTTGCAAAACGCAAAGAGTGCATAATTGATCAATATAGCTCGTATAAAGTTCCGAATACGGATTTTAGAGTGAATGGAAAGTTGACACAAGGCGAAAATATCGCTGATAATGGTGGAGTGAAAGAGGCTTACAGGGTCTGTGCTGAATTTGATTTGGCATTTTCTGAATTTGCGATTTGAGAACAATGATTCATGAGTGATTTCCATATGGATCATGAACGATTTCCAATATGTTTGGACATCCTACAAGCATCAGATTCATACTTTGATTTGCTTCGAACGGTGATATTATGTTCACAGGAGAAAGAATTTATGTGTTTGACGAAAGAATTTGATAAGTTCGAGTTTGAAGTGAGTCCATGGAGTATATGCATTCAGTTTCCCTAGAATATATGGAGCATGATTCAATTTTATCGTACGATCACGATTCAACGAGAGGGTTTTGTTGAAGAACGCCCTAAAAAAGTTGCAAATTTTTAGGCTTACCGAAAGTACGTAAAGAAACTGGGACGTGAAGAGCCTCGACTGCCAGGATTTCGTGACTTTTCGAATGATCAAATATTTTTCCTCTCTTATGCGCATGTAAGTCATCACTGAATTTTTCTCCCCGGCTCAATTTTCTCTCCTTTCATTTAGAACTCTTCAACTGTTCAAGAACTCACTGAATTTTCGCGAATTTACGGAAATTTTTCGAAATTTCCAACTAATTTTCAACTTTAAAAGATTGGTTTCAGTTCTGGTGTGGTCATAAGAAGGACGCTGCGGCCGTTCAACACGTTCTAACAGATGAGCATAGCCCTGAGATATTTCGTGTCATTGGAGTGCTGTCGAATTTAGACGAGTTTTCACAAGCGTTCCAATGTCCACCTGGAAGTCCGCTGAACCCTGCGCAAAGGTGTGCAGTATGGTAGAGGATGGATGGATGGATGGATGGATCTCTGATGTGTGGATAAGTAAAAGCGGACATGTACTTAGTCAAATTGGTCTCGTGTTATTTGTTTTACTCAACTATTACTACAGTTTACAGTGCATAATCTCAAAATTTTGTGAGCTACACTTCATCTCAATATTGTTTTTGAATAATTCAATAATTGTTTGCTTTGAACGATTCTCATGATTTTATCATCAGATCAACATTAACATTGTTACGATTGCTTCAATGTGAATGGTATTCCAGCAAATGTAATGATGCTGAGGTCAATATAAACTTATTTTGTATTCATTATTGAACTCACCATGTACTTATGAGTGTTTATGTGATGTCCTTATGAAATAATTGACATTTGTCAATTATTCCATAAGGACATCTGAAAAATAACATTATTTTTTATAATCTTATCGAATCTATAGTCTTAAAGCCTAATATTCACAAATAATGTCAGTAACTGCTCTTGTCTCTTCGAGAAGATACAACTGATATTGCTATCATTATTGTTATAAGTTATCGTTATCGGCTTAATATCAGCATTAGATTATTTGTACTTTTTGTATAAAACACTTATTTGTTGATTCGAAATAATTCGGAAATCGTTTTGAATTGTGACAATTTGATATTCTGTATGTGTGCTATTTGATGCATTTTTGTTTTATTGTTGAATTGAATTGAATCAATAGTACAAACGTTAGTATTTTGCAATGTACTTGATTGTATTCATTCTAGTTGTCGTATTCGTTTCGTTGTTCACATAAAATATCGGTATAATTTACGGTTATAATGAATTTTTATATTATTATAGCTTCTTTATCGGTATTGCTTTCTTCGTTCTGATCCTTAATGCCACTATGAACATGCAGTTAATATCTTGTAATACACTGCTGTCGTCATGAAAAGTCATATTACATTATGTTATATCATCTTATAAGAGCTGAAACCGTGAAAGATCCTGGAGTCCGTATATTGTGACAACAGAAACTGTGAAAAACTTCATAGAAAGATTATACATCTAATTCTCCCATATAAAGTTTTTCGAGTTTCATTCATCGTTGTTCCCGAAACTCCACAAATGTCAAGAAATCCTTATCAGAGAGGTGCTCGAGATCATTTGCAAACTCCAGGAAACGCTTCTCTATTCACTGTATTTTAGGTTTTTTCCACAAAAAGTTATAATGAACGACAATTTATTTTCAGTCGAATAGAAGAAACTGTTATAATGAACGGTTTCTTCTTTTTGACTGAAAAAAATTGTCTTTTTTTCTAACACAATGATATGTTACTGTTGCATTTATGAAGAATATGTGTATTGGTAGGAACGTTCGATATGGCGATTGTTCAATAGTATCAATGAAACATCAGCAAATTTCACCGGCGATCGATTGTTTCACAAGAAACTTTCGTAATATTCCGATTTTTTGATATTTTCCCATTTTCCTGAATATTTCAATGTTTTCATGGATATTTCCCAATTACTTCCCCGATTACATCGACAGCTTCGTGTTTTTCTCAGTTTCTTAAATCATAACTTTACGCTGAATAATGTTTCTTCTACACGTTGTATTATTTATTCACTCTAATGTATTGTAATATTAATTATTACGACTGCTTACTATTGTTACTGTGGTTCGATTACTATTATGATATTATTTTGAATATTGTTAATGATATCATTCGTTAATGATACTGTTAATAATATCATTATGATTAATGATATTATTCGTTTATTCATAAGAATTGTAATCATATTTTGATTAATCACTAAATTGTTTGTTTGTTATTTTTATGTGAGCGAATAATCATTGTAATACTGCGTCGAGGTTGATGTGAATGTCGAGTGTTCTTTGCTGAATTTTGAATTGTTTCATTTGAAAAAATTGTATTGCGTATTGAAATTATGCTTTGAGTAAATACATTCTACTGTAAGAAAACATACAAACTTATTATCATTATTGAGTTATTATTAAGTGTTTATAAGTTATTTAGGATGAAGGAAGGATATTGGTGCAGAGCGATAAGACTGTTGATTTGAGTCAATATTTGAGTCCGTCATTAAGACTGAAATTGTTTTGCGAATTTTTTGCAGATTCTTGATATTTTTACAGATGGAAATGTGAATTCTCGAGTTCGTTGGGAGTTTATTCTGTGAGAATGTACCAAGAATTGGGAGTTTCTGTGAGAATTTATCAAGAATTCGATATTTTTGAGACAANAAGGTAAAATGCAGATGAGCTAAGTGATACAGTATTTGAGTAGTGATAATTTAGATGATGTAGTACTTGAGAATAAAGTGATATCTGTAAGGTGTAAGTAAACTGTGTAATATAGTGCCTGAGTAGGTCACCTGAAGACAGGTAATTCAGGTAAAATAATACCTGACACACAGGTAATCCAAGAGATATAACATACTCTTGATCTATGTAATCTTTTTCACAAATCATTCAGTGCAAGTGAAACGTTGAAGTGCATTACAATAGTGCTGTTTGCAACAAATAACTTTATTGAGCCAAATTCCTAAGAAAGGGACAGTGAGAGAATATACGAATGATTTGAAATATTCCGGAATATTTCGCGTCGATGACAGTCTAGGGAAGGGAAAGGATTTGTTTTAGGGAAGGAACTGGGGAGCTGAGTCCATTAGGGAGTAATATAGGACGGGAAGGAGGGGTTTGATGAGGGCATTGATAGGTGAGATGTGCACATCGTTCGTTGGTGATCATCACCCAAAGCTTGGATGATTGCTGATAGGGACTGATAAGGTTGATGGGACTGGATTGACAAGGAGGGATAGGGTCGAT